AAGATGACACATTGTAAAATTGAAGATTTTCATTTATATGTAGAAAGTGTTTTAGAATTGCCTTTGGATATTAATCAAGTTATTAGACCCTAAGCTAGGTGACTTGGTTGTTACAAAATTAACTCATGAATTGGAATATTTTTATCCCATTGCAATGACTGATAACACATGGAGCAAGTTTTGAAGTTTTCAATGTGGAATTTATATCTGTCTACTTTGCTATTTTGAGATGGTTTGTCTTTTTCAACAGGTATGTATCTGTGGGTAAATCTAATGTTATCTTAGTATTTTAACCTGAAACAATGGCTTTCCCCCATTCATAAGTAAATTGTATTAATGGCCTAAATGTAACAGATTTTAAAACAGGAAATGCAGTTAGAAGAATATGTAAGCTCTAGAGGAAAACTTTCATATCATGTGATAAGGGATTGGGGGTCTGATGTGACTTTTCACCTACCTCCACTCTTAATGAGGATATCAAAGAGGTCGTCCATCTGCTGACTGTGTGCATTGGAAACCTACAACCAAGGAGAATATAAATTAGCTTTTTTTCATACAAACCAGGAAGTGTTATACAATTGGGAGCACCAAAGGACCTTACGGAGCAGCTAGTTCTAATCAATCACTTGATCATTTTGAAAACACTGAGGTCCCCTGAGAAGTTAAACCATTCACCCATGTGTTACAGCTGGTGAGCTGACAGAGCAAGAATGGGGCTGATACCAGCTCAGATGACTTTTACACTGACTTGTACATTGAGTGCATTTTGAGAGGCTTCTCATATTTTAAAAAATGTTTTAACTCACTTGCTTATATTCTGATAAAAATATAAAGTATGTATAAAGGTGACCATCTATATTTTTTCAGCTTTATTGAGAGTAAATTAACATACAATAACCTGAAGTTATATGAATTATACAATTCTGTAAGTTTTGACACATGTATACACCCATAAAACTATCAGCAAAATCAAGATAATGAATATTCTATTGCTCCTAGCTTCCTCATGCTTCTTTGTGATAGCACTTCCTTCATCCCTAGGTGACAATGACTTGATTTCTCCCATTACAGATTAACTTACATGTCTAGAGTTTTATAGAAATGGACTCATATAGTGTGTACTCTTTTTACTAGTAGAGGGAGTGGCTTCTTTTACTCAATAGGATTTTGAGGTTTTTCCATGTTGTAGATTATACCTTAGGAATAGTTCATTACTTTTTATCGCTGAGAAGTTTTTTATTGTAAGAAACAAATCTGATTGGGTTGTTCCTACATTTTGGCTACTACAGATAAAGTTGCTATGAACATTTGTGTACAGGTCTCTGTGTGTAAATACCGAGGAGTAGAATGACTGGATCATAGGGTAGGTGTGTGTTCAACTTTTTAAGAAATGGCTGTTTTCCAACGCAATTGCACATTTTACATTTCCACTAGCAATGTACGAGATTTCCAGTAGCTCTTCATTCTCTTCAACACTTGGTGCAGTCAGTCACTTTAATTTTAGACAGCTAATGGGCCTGTAGTGGTATTGCATTGTGGAGTTAATGTGCATTTCCTAATGACTTGATGTTGCATCTTTTCATGTGCTTCTCTGCCATCTGTGTATCTTTCTTTGGTGATGTGTCTGTTTAAATCCTTTGCCTATTCCAGACTTCTTATGCTTACTGTTTTCATGGTATATGTTTTTTCCAACCATTTATTTTCAACCTGTGTCTTTATATTTAAAGTATGCTACTTGTAGATGCACACATTAGTTATCTATTACTCTATTATAAAACTTCTAAAACACTTCGTGGCTTAAAATGCTAGACAATTATTATCTCACAGTTTCTGAGTCAGGAATTTAGGATTGGTGTAGATGGGTAGTTCTGGTTTGGGGTCTTTCATGAGATTGTAGTCAAGATGTTGGCCAGGTTACAGCGATCTCCAGGCTTGGCTGGAGAATGTTAATTTTGTGTGTGTATATACAGTGTTGAAGGCAGTTTATTTATTCCTAAATGGGAACTTTTTTTTACTTCAAGAATGATTTTAAATATAATAATGTAACATGCAATAAATATCTCACAAAAAACTATTTTAAATATAATGTTACATGCAGTGAACACCAATTCAAGAAAAATGGTCTTAAATATATTACATGCAATAAACATTAATATTTTAGGAAAAAAGGATTTTAAGTATAGTAATAATTCCAACACCGGTCTAACATAGTATGATATCACAAAAGTTGTAGGAAATATTAAAAATCTGCAAATAACAGGATTACTTCTATTATATTCTAAAATATTATTTTTTCCCCCCTGGCTCTATTTTTGTTCATCAGTTTATGTTCATTATATTCCACAAATGAGTGAGATCATGTGATATTTATCTTTCTCTGACTGACTTATTTTATTTCACTTAGCATAATGCTCTCTTACTCCATCCATGCTGTTGCAAATGGTAGTTCTTTCTTTTTTACAGCAGCATAGTATTCCATTGTGTAGATGTACCACAGTTTTCTAATCCATTCATCTGCTGGTGGGCACTTAGGCCGTTTCCAAATCTTAGCTATTGTAAATTGTGCTGCTATGAACATAGGGATGCACATATCCTTTCTGATTGGTGTTTCTGGTTTCTTGGGATATATTCCTAGAAGTGGGATCACGGGGTCAAATGGGAGTTCCATTTTTAATTTTTTGAGGGAACTCCATACTGTTTTCCACAGTGGCTGCACCAGTCTGCATTCCCACCAGCAGTGCATGAGGGTTCCTTTTTCTCTGCATCCTCGCCAGCACTTGTTGTTTGTTGATGATAGCCATTCTGACAGGTGTGAGATGGTACCTCATTGTCATTTTGATTTGTATCTCTTGGATGATTAGTGACTTTGAGCATTTTTTCATATATCTCTTGGCCTTCTTTATGTCCTCTTTCGAAAAGTGTCTATTTAGGTCCCTTGCCCATTTTTTTTATTGGATTGTTTAAGTTGTATGAGTTGGAGAATGTTCTTGTAAAGGTGGCTCGTTACATGACTGGCACTGGTGCTGGTTGTTGACAGGGGCAGGGGTGGAGGGGCTTCAATTCCTGTCCCCAGGGTCTCACAGCTCACATTCCCCCACAGCCAGCAGTCCAAGAGAGAGCAAGGCAGGAGGAGTATGCCTTTTATCACTTTGTTTAGGAAGTCACACACCATCACTTCTGCCAATTCTGTTCCTTAGAAGCTGGTCACTAAGTCCAAACTAGGGAGTAATATCTAAGAATTTGTAGACATATCTTAAAACTATGACACAGCATATAGTTAGTTCTGTTTTCTTTTTTCATTCATTCTGATAATCTCTACAATTGTTTTCTCCACTAATGTGTCTTGTGTAATCATTGATATGGTTAAGTTTACCATTGTCTTGTTTCTATTTATCCTGTTTTCTGTTCCTCCTTTCCTGTCCTTTTACAATTTTATTTTTATTTTTTAAAAGCTATACTTCTTGTTATCTATACAATATACATTCTTAATTTTTCATAGGCTAAGTGTCCGACTGTTTGACCAGTTGCCATGATGCACACTGATCACCAGGGGGCAGATGCTCTGACCAGTAGGTTACTTGCTGCTGGGGTCCGGCTGATCGGGACTGGGCAAGATGGGCTGGACATGCCCTGGAACCCTCCCACTGTCCCTCCCCAGCTTCTAAAATACTTATTTTAATTAATTTCCTTTCATTGTGCATGAATCCGTGCAACGGGACTCTGGTAAAATATAAAATCTCTGTAAACATACTGATCCATTTATTTCCTGTATCCTTTAATAATCTATCCTATATAATAAAAGAGAAACATGCAAATTAACCATCCCTCTGCTACGCTCAAGCCACACCCACCACCAATCAGTAGTGAGTATGCAGATTAACCCAACTAAGATGGCTGCGGCCACGGAGCTGGAGCGAGCAGGAGGCTTGGGTTGCCCCTGGCAATGGAGGAAGCCAAGCTTCCCGCCTGCCCTGGCTGGCCCTCGGCTCTGCTCAAGGCTACAAAGTTTTAATTATAGAAGATAAATAAATTCCAGAAAAAAAAAAAAAAAGCAAAAAAGGAGAGGCTGGGAGCTTGGGTTGCCGGGGGGGGGGTGGCCAGCCTGAAAACAGCCATCAGCCCCTCACCCAGACTGGCCAGGCTCCCTAGTAGGGACCCCCACCCTGAAGGGGGTGTGGCCAGCCTGAAAAGAGCCCTCAGCCCCTCACCCAGGCTGGCTAGGCACCCCAGCGGAACCCCCACCCTGATCCGGGATACCCTTCAGGGTAAACCAGCCGGCCCCCACCCGTGCATCAGGCCTCTATCCTATAATATAAAAGGGTAATATGCAAATTGACCCTAACAGAACGACTGAGAATGACTGGTCACTATGACACACACTGACCACCAGGGGGCAGACGCTGAATGCAGGAGCTGCCCCCTGGTGTTCAGTACGCTCCCACAGGGGGAGCTCTGCTCAGCCACAAGCCAGGCTGATGGCTGCCAGCATAGCGGTGGTGGCGGGAGCCTCTCCCGCCTCCTCAGCAGCGCTAAGGATGTCCAACTGCAGCTTAGGCATGCTCCCCCTGGCAAGTGGACATCCCCCGAGGGCTCCCGGGCTGCCAGAGGGATGTTTGACTACCAGCTTAGGCCCGATCCCCCCGGGAGCGGGCCTAAGCCAGCAGGTGGACATCCCCCAAGGGGTCCCAGACTGCAAGAGGGCACAGGCTGGGCTGAGGGACCCACCCCTCCAAGTGCACAAATTTTTGTGCACTGGGCCTTTAGTATATATATGAAAGGCTAATATGTAAGTGTCTGACTGTCCGGGTAATGACATCACGTAGCAATGCCCGGCTTCCTCTCCCTAGCAACTAGCCTCCTTGCAGTTTCTTCAGCCCAGGAACATGACTTGTTCATAGTCAGCTGTTAGCAAAGGTCAATGCTTACCTTGAGCCAGCCCTGTCCATTGTTTTTATGCATCTAAGATAACTGATCAGAGCAATTTTCTTTTCCTCCTAAAGGCACAACCACTGGCACAAGACCATGGAATCCCTCTTGTTCCCTTGTTCCTTGCATACGATCTCTGTGTGCTGTAAGAGAGGTATGTGTTTCTCTAGATAATTTCTCCCGCCTCCTTAATCTACCAACAGTGGATTTCAGGTAACCCTCCTTAATTCTTGTCCTTTGATTCTAATCCTATCTAATAATAGAGAAACATGGTAATTAACCGTCACTCCGCTCCCCTTCCCATTGGCTAATCAGCGAGATATGCAAATTAACTGCCAGCCAAGATGGCGGCCGGCAGCCAGGCAGCTGAAGCGAACATGAGGCTTGCTTGCTCCAGTGATGAAGGAAGCCAAGGTTCCCCGCTTGCTGTCGCCCGGCTCTGAGCTCCTGAAGCAACAGCTCCAAAAGATACAATGTTTCAATTATAGAAGCTAAAATATGGTGCTTAATTTGCATATACCAGTTGTGAGGGAAGACTGAGGACAACATGGAGGCCAAGCGGTACAGAAGGGAGCAAAGTAGAGGCCTCGAGGACAGAAATGGAGCCAAGGCTGCGGAGGGGGGAGAGGGAGGGGAAACCCAGCAGGAGTGGCTGGGAGTGGGAGGGGAAACTGGCCACAGCGCTTGGGGGGGGGGGGGGGGGGGGGGGGGGGGGGAAACCCCAGCCGCAGCGGCTCGGAGTGGGAGCGAAGCCCGCCTCAGCGGATTTCGCTCCCCTCTCTGCTTCGCTCCAACTGCTGGAAGCCCTATTCTTGCAGGAATCTTACTGCAACGGGCCTCTAGTCCTATATAATAAAAGAGAAACATGTAAATTGACTGTCCCTCCGCTACGTTCACCAGCCAATCAGGAGAGTATGCAGATTAACCTGACAAAGATGGCGAGTTAATTTGCATACGCAGGTGCCAAGCGGCCTGGGTCCCGGGAACATCCTCGGGACCCAGGCCGCTCCTAGCCTGTAGGCCCGTGCATAGGCCCTGAGCAGCCGGGGTCCCAGAACACCTCCGGCCACTCTGGGCCTCTTGGCGCAGGCGCCAAGCAGATGTTCCTGCCCCGTGGCTGCTTGCGCGTGCGCCGGTACCAAGCGGCGGCCCAAGTCCACGCCTCCCAGCGCCCATCACAGGGTGAATAGGCCAGGCCAGGCTTCCCTGTGGTCGCTCACGGGGCAAACAGAACAGGCCTCCACGCGATCGCTCACAGGGTGAACAGGCCAGGCCACGCTTCCCCGTGATCCCAGACGAAGAAGCCGCTCTGTTGACCAGCCTGCACTATGGACCTGTTCGGGTGGGTGGCGCGGAGTCCGGGGCCTCTAGCCTGCAGCCACAGGAAGTCTCCCTCTCCCCAGAGTGAGTTCCTGCAGGCTGGGTTTGATCCCTAGGCATTAGCAGTAGGAGACCAGTGCCTTTGTTATTGCTGTGTGTCCAGGTTTTAATTGGACAAATGCCCGGTGGTCCCAGGCACCAGCTTAGCAAAATCTTTTAGGAGGAGAATTCTGTCTGGGTTTCCTCAAATTCCCTCAGCCACTACTCACCACTCTGTAAAGGCGCAGAACAAGTGAGGCCCCTTAAATAAAAATCAGAGGTCTCCAGCAATGGTGGGCCTCTCTTATCACAGTCATTTGGACTGGATGCATTTGAGTATTTATCTAGGCACCATGATAGGGAACACACAAGCTCAAGTCATGATCTCTGCCCTTAAATAATTCACAATCTTATTAGAGCGAGTGGATGATAAACGCAGTAATGTGACATCAGAATGTAAGGCAACAATACAGAGAGGAACAGAGGCAATT